TTGGTCAACCCAATCAAATAAACCCAAGGAGTGAATGGTTTGAGCCAAGAAGGGGTCTAAATAGATTAAAACTTAATTTAGCCTTCTTAGGTCAATTTGGGTCAACCTGGGTTGACCTGGTCAACCAGGTTGACCCAGGGCACAAGTCTGGGCCCAATGGGTTAGGTCTAACCCACTGAGTCCAATGTAGGGAAGAAATGGGCTCGAGGAGGCTTGAATTTGGTTTGAAATCAATCAAAAGGGAATCAAGGTCAATTTGGGTCAACCTTGGTTGACCTGGTCAACCAGATTGACCTAGGACTTGGGCCTGGGCTTAGCAGACTCAGGTTGACTCACTGAACTGATTAGGAGTGGTCTCGAGACCTGACTTGGTAAATTTGACCAAGTCAACCTCTTAGACCCAGTGATTTGACAAAATCAAGGTCAACAGTGTTGAAGGAAGAAATAGGCCCATAGTCATAAAAATTATTAGCATGAAATTTCTTAATAATCAAGTTAATAGGAGTTTTTCGTGAAAAATGATGAGCTTTAATTGGTAAAAAAAATTAATAATTTTTTACTAGAAAGTTGCTTTAAGAAATATATTCTTAAGAATCAAGTTAATATCACTAAGACTTCAATTAGATAGCTTTCTTACTGCTTCTTCAAGCAGCTTTCTATTACAAAAATTTTAATTTTTACTAGAAAGCTCCTTTAAGAAACGATAAGATCTAGTGTTGCAACGCTCAGATCTAGTGATGTAGCACTGAATGTCAAATCTATTATAGGAGTCTTTATGAAATTTCTCACCCCCCCTGCGCCGGAAAAAAATACTATGATCTTTAGGTAATTGCCCCCTAACATAATTAAACACATTGTGTATATGTGTTATTTATAAATTTGTCCCCTTTAATAACTGAGGTTGGTTTCGCCCCTGCACGACGCCAACTTTCGATGATGTTGTGCTCTCAAATATAATGTCACAGCGCTCCAAAGCACAATGACGCTATGCTCATGTTCAAACAGATATTCTGATTTTCTTTTTTTTTATAACACAATTCGTTTTTTTTTTTGTTATTACACGGGATTCATAAGGGTATCTCCCCACACAAATATAGCCAAAAGCCTAAGATCCCTTATGAATTTCTCAAGGATTTCTACTAGTCAATCCATCCTCTCACCCTCCGTTGAGAGGTGGCCTAAATGATGAAAGTTGGGATCCATCCAATAGTGTTCCAACTCACCCATTACTATCAACCAACCAAAAAGGTCTTCATCTCGCAAAGTAAGCATACTTGCATCCTACTCCGAGGCAATTATGAGCTCCACCACAAATCATTGATGTCCTTGAGCATTAACCAATTACAATGCTCGGCAGTAGACTCACCCACACCAACTTTACCTCAAGCACTTGGCACAACGAAACAAAGCCCAAAGACAACGAAACTAAGAGTCATTCTCTTACATATTTTTATTTTTTTATTGATTTAGTCTTTATTGTATTCCTCTAATTCTTATAAATAAATGATGAAAATTAACATTTGTTTATCTTTGGCATCCCTTGCATCTTTTATTAGTATAGGCTTTTTTTTTCTCTTTGATTCTTATAATTAATAAATGGCGATGAGAAACATTTTAGATCTTTTACACATCTTACATCTTTGGGCACTTGTACTACATATTTTTGAGCTAGTGGAGTACCTCAGAGACATCTTTAGAGCTCGCTTGTTGGTAAGGTTGAGCATCACCAATGTATAAATAAGGTAAAGAGTGAATTTAGTAGAACCAGTGAAATCTTCCTATCCATTGATAAATTGAAAACAATCATGCACATAATAAGACAAGGAATGATGAGGAGAATCATATGTAATCCAAATCTTATCCCTACAGCAGGAAAGTTTTGTTTAACACTTAACCTTCATTAAGGTAATCTGAGAAGAGAAAGCTTAATCATTTCCATTAAACTTATTAAACAAATGAGTTGAGATAAGTTTCAATTTGACTTATTTAAAATCTGCTTATTTCCTCTCTTATAATTCTTTCAAAACAAATAGTACTTAAAACGAGAGCGTTGAAGAACATTCAAATCCGTTTGGTACCACTGCAATAATCTATAAAATTATTATAGAAAAAAGTACTGAGTTCTTAGTAACATTGTTGAGTATCATAATTGCTTTTTCACTGCAAAAAAAGACTTGAGAGACAAACTTTTTTCCACACATTGGCTTCACTTAGGATAAATTTTTTAATGCTTTCTAAAATATTTTTTCAATACAAAAGTTTTTAATTTAAGAACTCACTTGGATTAGACTAAGGCTTCATTTTATACGACTTTCTTAAAGCAAATTTTTAGTACAAAAATTAAAATTTTTACACAAAAAAATTACTTTAAAAAGTAGTAAAAGATTCATCACAAACGAAGCCTAAATAGTTGTCCTGAATCAAGCCTTTATATATATTTTGAATCGGTCAGACTAGACTCATGTCAGCCTAACTAATTCAAAATAAGTCAATCTCGCAAGTCAATCAGATCTAATCAAACAATTACTGGTCATATGTAAGCATGTTATATCTAGAAAGTTCTAAAGCAATGTAACTTTTTTATATAGAATTACAACCACTCCTATCTATAAATAAGCTGTTTTTTACGACCTGAATAATAAAATTTCTTTCCTCATAAAAACTTCACAATAAAAAATAAACCATATGAAAAAGCTCTATCAATTTGTACATTAAATGTATTAGTATAATCACATTGCAGATAACTTCTTAAACTAGCATTGAAAAATCCATTAAGCTTAAGCTTCATTTGAGACAGCTTTCTAACTACTTTCTAAAGCAGCTTTTTCATACAAAAATTTCTAGTTCAAAAAGTTTTAGTACTATAAATCTATTTTAGAAAGCAATAAAATCGTATGAAATATTCTCACATATTAGATTCCACTCAATCATCAAAACCATATAAACCAAAAAATGTATTATGCATAGATTCATCATACTAAGCAAATAAAAAAATATGTAAAACAGTAATGGCTGTAATTAAGGGAAGAACCGAAGAAGGAGATAAAAGAAGAGAAAAAAGAATGGCAATGGCCGACAAAGAATCCATGCAGGTTGAAAAGACCAACAACTTGAACTACAGAAAATAAGCATAAATGGCTATAATTAACGTGGAAGAAGGATCCAGAAGATCTCATAGTACTAAACTGGAGCAAAACTGACAGAATCCATGAAGATTTAGGATGATATGGTTAATAGATATGGATGCATTGAAAGGGAATTCTTCTTTCCCATTCACAGATTTTACTCATTTTTCCTTTATGATGATATGATGTCTGTTTCTTTAGACATGTGAGGGTACTAATTTTTCTCCATATCGTTGAATTGATACATTCTTTTATGGACCTACTTCACATGGTATGGACCCCTTACTTCTGTGTCCTTATCTTCATAAACTATTCCTTCAAGAAAAAGAAATACTAACATTTTATGTATTAATTGTACATTTATAGCAATCAGATTGAGCTTTTTAAGCCTACGGGATAACTTTCTTACTGCTTCTTAGAATAATTTTTTTAGTAAAAAAAATTTTAAACTAAAAATAATTGTACTAGAAAGCTGTTTTAAAAAGTAATAAGAAAATTGCCCCAAATGAAGTCTAAAATTATTCTATTTAGACTTCACTTGAGACGGTGCTCTTATTGTTTTCTAAAACAACTTTCTAATATAAAAATTTTTAGTTCAAAATATTTTTTTAAAAATAGTAAAAAAAAGTTATCCCAAATGAAGCCTGACGACTTTGTTGCAGCTTCTTACAACAACTTTTAGTACAAAAAAATTGTAAATTAAAAATTTTTGTACTAAAAAGTAATAAGAAATCTATCCCAAATGAAGTCTTAGGCTTTCTTATTGGTTCTTAAAATAAATTTGTAGTACAAAAATTATAATTTTTGTATATAAAATCTGCTTTAAAAAATAGAAAAAAAGCCGTCCCAAACGAAACATTAAATTCAGCATCCTGACAGATGAGAAGTTACATCCACGCATGTCATGTGGGAAAAAGCAATCGGCTGAATTGAGTGAGAATAAAATACAACTAATGTTTCAGGACTTCTATTATAGAACTAAATATCAACTGATTCCTTAGAATTAATTCATCCAAACTAATAGCATCTAAGGAAAGGAAAAAAATAGAATAAAATAAAACTTATAGAAGAATAACTATTATTCGAGGGACATAAATGAGGCGATATGCAGCACAACAGTACGTATCTAATATGCAATAAATTATAACATGCAGATTTCATATATATTTTCTAGTTTTCTATGTACAAATCAAACACATAAGAGGACACATCAAAACAAATTGAAATAAATAAGGAGTATGCAACTGTATGCTTCAGAAATCCTTGCATAAAGTATAAAAGATATCTGCACTTAATAAATTCTCCTACAAAAAGTTTGGAATAGCTGCAACTTTCTATTAAGTTGATTGTAAAATTGTTCTAAAGAAAGCAACTTACAATTCTGAATGTAAGAAATAACTTCTAACTACAAATTTTTTAAAAATAATAAAAACATGACAACCAAATAAAATTATTATTATTATCTAAAAAATAAAGCAGCAAGAAAATTATCCCAAATAAATCCTAAATGATTATTCTAATCTCCTATACAGACTAAATAAAAAAAATGTGAAATATATTGTTAGTATTCCCAGTTCAAGGGAATGTTTTATTCATTTCATATACCTGCAATTGGTATTACCTTATGAAAAGAAGAAAGCACTTATGTTGAGTCAAGATAATAAAATTTTCCATTGGAATCAAGCGCTGTAATAGTCATGTTGTATGAGCTGAAAAAATAGAAAACTCACTCACACAATATCAATCCTTGCTCCAATAAGTGATTATATAGCATAAAGTTACTAAATTTCATCTTCGATTTACTCTTATAAGACAAAGCTCACATAGGCATATAATAAGACCTCTAAGAGTCCCAGAAAAAAAAAAAAAACAAGGCTTATATCAATATAATGGCTTGCAGTTCAGGCCAAGAACAAAGAGTGGTAATGCCTATTAATAAACTATCAAGATCTTTGCAACAAAAGAAACATACCCAATGGGAGGCTCCTTCGATCCAGCATGTTTCTTAAGATAGTTAAACAATCCCAAATCATCCTCACAGGAATTTATGAGGGACGGAATCAAAGTCATCAAAGTCTAATCTAGGCCTTTCTCTCCCAATCTGGAGCAATAACATAAAGTTCATCAGCACAAGATTTATCCTAAGTAAAAAAAATACAAAACACAGTCATGAATGAAGTGTTCTACCTTTGTAATGTAGGCTGGATCACAAGAAATGTGTTCATCTATTGCAGTTAATTTCTTTGACAAGGCCATCAATCTAAAAGCACAAGTAAAGCCACCTTAATGAATTTTAACCCCATGAAGTACATAAATGCAACAAATTCATCAAGAATTTTTCACCATACTCAGCAAGTTGGTTACTATGAAAATAATTGAAATAGTGCTATAGTAAGTAAGAGTCTAAAAGACAATAACAGTAGTTGACGAATGCTTTGTCTTAATTTGGAAAATGAAGGACCCAAGTAATCAATTACAAAGAAACTGGCACTTTGACTTTTCATGCTGTCTCTAATAGGTATGATATCAATCTGACTCCAATCAAGATTCACTCAGGTTATAATCGAATTTTTAAGTTTTTTTTTTTTTTTTTTTTTTTACAAACTAGATGATATCGGCCATACAGATTCCATTATGAAGATAATAAAAGATAGATAAATCATATTTATCAATAATGAGTTGCGCAATATGATGCAAGTGTACCTAGGAGCCATAGCTCATGAAGCATGCTATTTTAAAAATAATACAAATCTAAAAAATAAGGAATATTTATTAATAATTTAATAATACAAGAAAAAACTTTATTTGAAAAAAAAAAAAAAAGATGTCACATTAGTAGACAAGATTGTTTAACTTGAACATATATAAAGATTAATGAAAGACTATAGATTAAAATAAAGTATTTTAGCAAAGACAAGGATTAACTTGAAGAAAAAACAATCAAGATTATAAGAATACAGAATAAAAAAAATTGAAGAATATTAAAACATAGGTTTATATCATCATCATTAACCTTATCCCAACTATTTAAATTTTGAAAAAAGATTACACTTTTATTTCTTTATAAACCCATATTCAAATTCAAAATCAAAACTAACTAATCATGCATGGAAACCTGATCACTATATAGGTCGAAATATCCTCATATTCCTCATCATTGTCATCTCCTACATAATATTTTTCATCACCCTATTAGTGCCATGTGCTAATCTATATAACTTATAGGGCAAATAGCATATGCTATTGATCCTTTGTGTCTTTCAATAGTCGTAGTAGTGGGGAGCTATAACACATACTATTTTACACTATTGGCAAATATGCGACAAACAGTCAACTTGTAATAGTTCGTTGTTCATAGTACAATTCACATATGTAATAAGTAATTTGCAGAAATGTAACTTTTTTATGATGTCCTACTAACACCTTGATCACTAAGAAGCTGTTTCCTTACCTTTGAATTGATGAATCAATTTGGTCAATCATCTCACAAGTCTTGTATTGCTCTGGATCCTCATGAAAACTGACCATACCGTCCTTCTGATTTATTGTCGCAAATATATCCCCATCTTGAATCTAGATTTAAGGAAACGAATCACAGCTTCAGAAAACTAGCCAGAAACTTATAACAAACTGCACAAATATAATACAAGAAAAATCACCATTTGAAGCACTCGCATTTCAGCTTCTTTTGAGGTGTTTAGGTGAACCGCATTGGCTATATCTTGAAGTGACAAAGTTAGGTAAGTTTGAGTCAACCTCTGGATATTGCGCTTGTACAAAGATGAAAGAACTTGTTTAACCAATCCAAGATTATTGTCCTGAAAGGCAATATGCGTGAATAAATTGTCATAAAAATAAAATGAGGATCCTATCTAAAATACTAATAGTCTACTTCATAAACCTACTATATTTTCATGTAACAATTCAAAACATAACGAAGTTAAAAAGAAAGGCTATTCCAAACATGATGAGTAGAAATGAATGAAATAATAAAGGTAGATAACAGCTAGAAAACACAGCCAATAGTAAAATTATGGTAAAGAACAAAAAAAAATGTAATCACCAAAAATATGACATCATTCATTGACCCATCCCAAGGGGTCATCTTTATAAATCTTTCTCCCACGTTTTTATTATCTGCCACATTATGTCGACTATATTTCTTTGTGCAAGCCTATCCAACATCTTCTAACCAGATTTAACTAAAGCTCTGCACTCATTCTTCATTGTCCATCCTTATTTTATATATTTATCTTATAGATTTATCTCCTGCTATAACTAGTAAATGCCCAAATCATAAGTTTATTTTCCACCATAATATCTTATATTAGTATACTTCCATCATCTCCCTTATAGAATCATTGCCGACAACAAGCAACAAAAATGAAAATAAGGGAGGATTTCTTTTGATTATTTTTAATGTATGATTTGCTATATAGAGAAGAATTAAGTATAGGGGAAGAACCATGTAAATAAAGAGGGAATTTTAGAGATTAGCCAAACAAATGCCTCAAGGAAGAGTGATATAAGATGGAGAGGAATAATGTATGAAGAAATTCTAGAAAGGGCAATCAATCCTACAGGGATGCCAAAAGAAAATACTTGATTCCATCTTCAAAAATTAAATAATAAGACTCTGGGCATTATTCATAAAAAAATTCAGATTTCAGTTTTCAAGATTTACTATGACACACTTACTTTACAAAACATACTAGAATCAAGGCAATCTTTGAAGGCTATGTTCACCTCCACATAATTAAATTATGTTTAGCCTAAGAAACCTGAAGATAAAAAAGTCAATGAGATTATTTTGAGTTGAGAGATTTTGGTCATGGGTGACATGTCATCACAACTACTAAGCCTTTGGTTCATGTTTTAAAAATGTTTGATGTGGTTAAAAAACAAGCTATGGACTTTATTTATAATGCAAAGATAAGGCAAAAGAACTGATAGCATAGAACTTTGGAAGAGATGAGTGCAGCTGTAAGAAAATTTAGGAAATCGTAGATGAGAAATGATAGCTTCATCTGCATCAATAATTGCACGCCACTGATCACTAATTGAATTCTCAATATTAATATGCAAATAACAAGTCAACCAATCTCAAATTTGGTTTGTACCACTATATGAATAGATAAATCACTAACTCAACTAAGAGATAGAAGATTGATCTTTAGATGGTCGCTTCTAAAAAGAAGATTTCTTTAGATTATAGCAAGTCAAAGACAGTATCAAAATGTTCCCCAGGTAAATTTCTACATTTATTGATTAAATTTCACAAAATGTAAATACTATTCTAATTGTGTATTTTGAAATATTAGTTGAGTGATGGCTTCACTTTAGACATAGCACTCCTGAACTATAAAGATTTGTAATAAAAGTACTGGGTTTTACATGCTCTTCAATAGGGTGTGAATAAAATTGATGTATACTAAGTTCAAAGAGGAGAAAACATCTTACTATCTTAAGGAAGAACTCATTGGTTTAAAATATGTACAACAAGATAATAAAAGATGAACATATGAAAAAGATAGTTTTGGAAGATTATGAAGACCCATTAGTTCATAATTATGAGCCAACAGATGATGAATGATTTATGAATGATGAAAATAAAATTAAATAATTAAAATTACAAGAAGAAGATCTAAATGTTGACTTCTTTGATGGAGGAAGGAATAAAAATAACAAAGTCAAAAAAAATTAACAAAAACATAAAATTTTATGTAATAGCAATTATAATATCGAAGCAATTTTTATTTTATAATTTAATTATTATTTGTTATTAATTAGGGAAAAGAAAGATGAATGAAATCGAACAAAAGAAGGATTGCAAGGATGTTGACACAAGTAAGAATAAGGGAAAAGAGAAAGAATTCCATTATAATGATGATTCTAATGAAGACCCATTAAGTGATTAGTTTAAGTGAGACTTTATATTAATAAATTATAAAATTAATAACTGAGATTATTTATTTATATTAAATTAGAAGAAATTTATTGTTATGAACATATTTTGACTTAACAGTGATCATACTTCGATGCTAAAATGTTTCTTTATGTTTTCATTTTTTTTAATTTAATAATTAAATTTGAGGCTTACAACCCACCTCATGAATAAAAAATGACTAATATCCAATTGCATAATTCTAAACGTCCTCAGATATAATGTGACCAAGTGCAAAAAATGATGTGTAATGATGCACATATATGCAAATAGTTAGAATTGATGTACGATGTGTGGCTTTGCTAGTTGCAGGCAAGCAAAGGATGAGATGGATGGAGTATTGTGGCTTTTGAAGAGATACAAAGTGAGAGTTGGTGAATGGAACGATTGCAAAAAAAAAACTATAGATCAACATGTGAGGGGTAGAGTGTGAAGGATTTTTATTAGGGAGAGAAATAAGGAAAATACTAGAGATAAATAACAAAGAAATAAACAACTGTAAGAGATAGGAGTAAGAAAGATGAAAAGGAGAGACAAGAGTGTGTGTAAGAAAGGTATTATATGATAGGAGAAAGTGTAAGATGATGGTTAAGTAAGGCTAGCGGTCATGAATGGCCATGGAGATTTCTTCAACTATAGCAATTTTTAACTTTAAATTAATGTTAAATTCATGAACTTTGCTTTTGATATCAAATTGACATATATATATATATATATAGGCCTTTTTGAAAATGGCAAATTATCTCTAAAAAAATATGACAATACCATAATAGTCTTAAATAACAAATGGCACTTAAAATATTAATAATTAACTAAATGGCAACTAAGGAAGACCACACAATAAATTATACTAAAACTATAGATTCATGATTAATGATTGATGTAGACTTGTACTACATCAATCAATTTTTAGTTTATCACATACATGCAAACCCTTCTTAATATTCTCATTTATGCCACATTTAATTTGTCATTAGACTTGTTTATTTGCCCAATTAACCAATATTAGCCACCTAACATAGGCACCATAAGCACAATGAATTAAAATTACCTTAAATTTTCCATGATATGCGCTCAAATGCATAGTTACTCGGTCATTTTATTTTAACCACCCAATTTAGTTCTAAAAGGTGTCCCCATCTATATCCATATTTTTTTACAAATAGACCCAAAAAAACTTAACTTTATCAAAAACATGTATCAAAGGATTTTTAGGAACATTGTCTGATAATATTGCCCTTTAACTTATATATTATGCCCTCAATCTTTATTCGACAATCCCAAAGCCTCTTAATTTCTGAAAAATTCCTCAATTATTCTACAATTTCACATAAGATGTCCTGCAAATGTGTTTAATTCCTCTACCACTTCTACAAATATTTGAATATATTTTATAAGCATCTCCAAAATCAATATAAAATAAAAATAATCTCAAAATCTTTTTTATGTAACCATAGGATTAAAAAAAATTGAGAAATGAATGATAATTTTTTAAGGGTTCTAAGAAAGAAATGATAAGAAAAATTAACAGACACTCACAGTTTGGAATTTCTCCACATTAGTCTGGATAAATGCTTCTAGCTCTGAAAATTTTCCTGTTGCATACGAACTAGCCAAACCAACATACGGCTGCCAAAGGAAGAACATGAAACCAGATGAAACTTCCATCAAATGCTAGGCTCTCCAAAACAAAACATGCATATAAATATTGGAATGGACTCTGATTTAGCTAGTCTGTGACAAGTTAACGTGTTCTTGTATTACTTCAAGTAGCATCTACTAAAAAACATTATACAACTAATCACAAGGCCTTCAAGACAACAAAAAGACAATTTTTCTTTCATATTTAAGTAAAAGCATATCAGCATAATTAGATTCTGAAAATCAAATATGTGTCAAATATTGCTTTTTTGACAGAAGAATTGCAAAGAAAGAAGGCTAAACGCTTGTTAAATAAAAATTAGGAATGTTCTTTAAACACTTGAAAGAAGGCTAAAGCATGTCATCTCACCAAAATGTTCAACCAAGGTTGAGAAAACTATAACCGATATAAAACCGAAAGAAAAAAAGGTTCGAGATTCAATGGTTCGACCGACATGAACCGAATGATGTAATAAAAATTAAAATTATTTAAATAATACTTAAATGACATAATAATGATATAATAGTTCTGAAATAATGTAAATTTATTAATGAAAACAAATAAATTCATATTAAAATGATATATTCTATAACTTTAAATTTATATATATTCAATCTTTTTAATCCACATTTAACATAAAGTTAGTTCACATAATAGTTATAGATTTAATATAATTAATTGATTTTATATTATATATTTAGATATAATTTATACCTTTAAATTATATACAAAATTTAAATTATAAAATTGCAGTTAGAAATCGATGGAGAGATGTGGTTGGCCTCTTTCTATGGGTTTTATTGGAAATAGCTTTATGATCATATCATTGAATTTGAACACAAGTATTCTCTCTACTATAATGAATGACATTTAGATGATAAATTCAAGGCCTTCCTAATAAGATATGAGCCCTAGGGAGTACATCATACCATATATGATCAACATAGGTTTGATTTCTATAGGGCATTAAACATCTAATTGTGATAGGTGATGTCTGGTTCACCCAGCTCATATAGAAAGGCTTTGGGTGTGGCTTAGTCTCAAGGCCTACAATAGTGATGGCATGGGTGGATATGACATTGATCACACTACCTCCATCTACAACTATTTTGCACTTCTTTGCATATGACATATATTAAGAAAATGTTTTTCCTTCTCCCGTCTTCCTATCCCCTAGATGCAAATAAACATCTCATCACATCTGAAGGATCTCCCACATTCTCAACTTTCTCAGTAGAAAAAGGAGCATCATCATGACTTTCCTCTGCCTCATCATCCACTCTCTCTTCTTCTAAATCTTGTTCAGCTTCATCGAATACAAGATCTTAGCCTTACACTAATGCTCTATATAACCTTTCTAGTGATATTTGAAATATATGATATCCTTAATCTTAGAGGATGACTTAGGTGTACTTCGACTTGGCTAAGCACTAAAAAAAGGGTGTCGGTCTAAACGTAGACCTATGGGAATAATATGAGGATGATTCAAGAGATGAGCTTGGACCTCTAGCTCTAGATGAAGAAGTTTCCCTCTTATGCTTCTTTGGAAGTAAATTATAATGAAAAGCATCTTTTTGGATTTGAGGGTCATGTAACTCTCTCTCTCTCGTATCTAATCTCACTCCCAAGACAAAAAGTAAATTTGTTAGCTAATTTCCACAAACATATTTATATATTCTACCACTTGCAGATTAACTGGCCTATGAATCGTCAACTGTTCATGTATTTTCTTAACATGGTATCTAGAACAGTACTTAGCCCTTAGTATTTCTTTCATCTCTACCCAAATAATATCTTCTTAACTTTTCTTCCTAAATCAAAACTTTGGTCCAATTAATTTTTGCAAGGCCGACGAGTTTCATTTTAGCCATGGCAGTTTTTTTATAGTCATTCATTTGGCACCAATCAAGAAATTCATCCATTTGTGTAAGCCAATCTAAGAACATATTGGGGTCTTGAACTCTATCATATGTAGGAGCATTTATCTTACCTTCTTTTGGGGTTAATTAAGTTTTTATGAATCTTAGGCTGATCATCTCTATAGAAATTCCTAAAAGGTTCTTTTTTAAGATTGAATGTGCTCTCTATATGATTTTCAAGCAATCATCTCCTATGGTTTCAATTTCAATAGATTTTGAGCTAGAGTAGGCGTTTGAACCCTAACACTCAAATTTTGAACTTTCGTTGTTAAGTTCAAAATGAACTCTTGAAGTTTGTTATTTTTCATCAATTTTAAGAGCCGATGCATGTATCCTCCTATTAGTATTTGTCATTTTTTTAATATGAAATACTTTCTGATTTTAATAAAATGCATGCGAATGATTTTTTTAAAAAAATACTTCTAAGTCTTCACAAATTTGCAAATCACAATGAAAAATAAACTAGCACAAAATAACTAAACTAGAATTAGAATAAAATCCTAAATTATTCAAAGCAATTTTAAAAAACTGATAGGAAGTACTTGAGTTCTCAAGTATTCCTAACCAAACCAGTGAAAATACAGCAGCAAACTGCTGTCCACAGCAGAATTCAGCAGGAAAAACAACAAAACAGTGGGAAAAATAGGGAAAAGATGAGAGAAAATTGGAAGAACAGCTTGTATTTTACTAGTAGAAGAAGAAAACAACAAAGATACAATTGATCCTCAATTCGAGAGGAGGATCGCACTCTCCCAAATCTCTAGACGCCGCTAGAGCCCAAAGAAAACCTAAATCTAAGAGATCTCAAATTTCAGCCAAATTCAAGATGCCCAAACCCTAAGAAATTCAACTATTTAATGCATACAAATCAAAAGGAAATCCCTAAACACTCCCTACATTCAAATTTCCCTCTCAAAACGCTAAAAAATGCTTCCTAAAATGATATCTTCGGCTGGTCGGGCCGCTCGATCTCCGCAGGAGGCGGAGATCGGTCGCTCTTTGCGACTTGCCGGTCCCGCCTGGACCGGCTGGACCGGTCTAGTGGACCGGTCTAACAAAAACCTAGCCAACCCTAACAACTAGGAATTCACTTGGATTAAGATGGATGGAACAAGTTTGAGATTTTTCTAAGGTGGATTACAAACAGAAGAACACAATGACAGAAGATTGTTGTAAAGAAAATTGCATGAAAATTAAAATGCTACTCATCAGAGTAGTGGTTCAAGAGGATCACCCCATCCCCTTGAGTTCATCGGCCACCAAGCTACCAGAAATCTTGGATATTTCTCTCTAAAACATATAAGCAACCAATCTATCTCTTCATTTCAGTCTAAGAAATTTTTATACAACAGCAACTACATGAAGAGAAACACCCTTTATTTAAATTCAAAATAAAGAGTGAAAAGGAGAAGAGGGAGGGGTCATCCGCTTGATTGGGTTGACTAACAACAGCCTACAACCACTACCTCGTCTCATGCACAAGAGCATAGCTTCTCCTTGCATCCTTTTCCATCACTTGGACCTAACTTTTTAAGCACTAACAAAGCAAATTACATCCATTGATCTCTAGCAAAGTAAATTACAACACGATGTTATCCACACAACATTTAATAACACAATAACATGAAAATACATTAAAAACAATACAAAATGATGTAAGCCTTCATGGTTTTTTCATGGATTGAGTTTCATGTGATCTTGCTCTAGTGATAGGACCATCTTCATGTATTACATCAGTTTCCTAACATTTTTCTTTGATATAACTTTTTGTCTTGTGGTCATTGCACCACAAGTTGCCTTTAAGAAAACGCTTTTGTCCATCTTTTCAAAAGAGGACAATGGCAATAAGTTATTTATATTAAGCTATTGTAGTCATTGAGAAATGGTTATTGATCTTTTTCAATGCGGCAACACTGGCACACGATAAACGCCGTGGCGCTGACTAGTTAAAAAGCTTGTCAATTCGAGTCCCAACGCGAAGCACCACGACACTGTCTATACCAAGTGCCACAGCACTATAGTGACTTTTGACCATGCATTGAATTATCATTTAATTGTTGGTCTGACTGCTGAGAACTGCAACACTCGAGCACTCAAAGCCGTAGTGTTTGGCCTAATTATAATTAGGTGCTGAGGTCTGTTCATTTCATTGCATTCAGATTTCCTTCAAATTCCTAAGCTTTTTAGTTTCTTCTTGTAATAAGAGATGGCACCTAATATCACATCTAAGAAGAGGAGGGGCACCAACTCTTACAATTCTCACAAGTTTATGAGCGCAAAAGAGGAAGACAGATATAATCATTCAATAGTTCACAAACAAATAATCACTGTGAGAGAATTGAAGATTTCAATGGCTTATATAGAACTTACCTTTGTTAAAAGGGGTTGGGAAAATTTTTAAGATCCCTTTGTTTGTATAGTTCCTAATGTTAGGAAATTCTTCTCTAATGTAATGGAGACCCAAAACAATAAAGGGTATGTTTGGGACGGCTGCAGCAGTCAGTAAAGCAAATTGTAAAATTGTTGTACATAAAGTGCTTTCTGAAATTACTATATAGAAATCAGTATATTTTGTTTGAGAAGTACAACTGTAAAGTTGTTGTGCTGCAGCTATATGGAAATAAATTACCTTTATACCCTTATATATTGAGATAAAATAAATTACTTAAATATCAAAATTTTCAAAAAAGTTGTATGCTAATAAACTAAAAATTCTAAATTAAAAATTGTATCAACTTTTATGAAATGTTTTATAAATATTAAATATTATAATATAGTTTTTTAATAATGTTTTAGCAGATGAAACCCATTCGTCAAAAGGAGAAACAAAAATTTTGAAGCTTTTGAATAGCAGAAGGGTACACGCATAAAGATTTATGGTTGAATTGTGCCCTAAGGTGATACAAGCATTGGAAAACAATAATAAGCACAGCAATCATAACGCCAAAAAAGGTCGACATCTAATCTAATATCCAAAACTACATTCAACAAATAAGAAAGAAATTTTTAAATCGTGATGGGAAAAAAAAAGTTGGAGAATTGACTGCTTTTTTCTGTGTTATCCAGTAGAACTATGGCGAGCATCCGACTGAAATTGTCATCGCCAAGCTTTCCGATGAAAGCGGCCCGACCTCCAAGCTGTAACATGGCGATGGAAACATTCGCCGGAGCACCACCAGGAGCTTTGACGAAAGCTAGCGCCTCCACCAGGGAAACACCGGCAACTGTTGGAACGAAATCAATGAGCATCTCTCCGAAGCTGACTATAGTGACTTCGTTCGGTTTCATGTGGCCATCTAAATTGGCTGAATGGAGAGAGGTGGGAGTAGGTAATTAGCAGATCGAGGTAGAAGAGGTCAGACAGATTGGCGCAAGTCATCTGGAAAGTTGGGGTCGCTGAAGGCGCCAAAAGGACGAAGGTCACCAATATTTGCATGTGGGGGATTTAGGTCATTTTTCCACAGAAAGCAGCCGACCACGGGAGACCGTGAAAGGTCGCGATAAGAAGCTATGTGCCGCAAATTTTTTCTGACGCAGTTCTACTGCAATGCCCCAAACGATGATTTAATAGCTTTCCATAAAGCAAAGCAGCAGTGACGCCGTCCCAAACGCACCCAAAGTGTATGTTGGGGGGAACTGGGTTCCAATAGATAGTGTTTCAATTAATAAATTATATGAGAACACAAATATAGAGTTTGATGACTCTGTTTTTATTCATGCCCTCTATATTCTAATGAGATCCTTAGTCTTTTACTGGACCAAATACCAATGCCCAACAGAGATTAAGAAGGATAGAATAATGAACATTCATGCATCTGCTATGATTTTAGACGCAAAAGTCTGGCATTATTTCATTTCTACCAGGTTGATGTCCATTAGGAATATTAGTGAGGTGACTAAAGATAGAGCATTCCTAAATTTTGCTACTAAAAAAGTTATGATTATAGATGTAGGTAAAATAATTTATTAGTCCCTTTGGAACATGATTAAAGAGGCAACTTCAACAGGATTACGACATTCCTCTTTTGTTTATTCCTTGTGTGCCCAAGTAAGAGTCTTAGGGGATCCTAGGGAGGAGCAGCTTTTCCTTGGTGCTCCTCTTACAAAAAATAAGATAAAAACTTCTAGATTCCTAATAGGAAACCTGGTGAGAGTTTTAGCCAACCTAGGATTAGAGCCCCCAAGAATTTAGGAGATCAAGTGTCTGATCTCAAGAATCAACTGCAGAGGATGCATCAGAGGATAGAGAGGATGGAACAGGAACTTTATCATAGGATGGAGCACATTATGGACCAACAATAGAGGCAATTCCAATATGCTGGTGATTTTAACTTAGCATTGATTTAGATGTTCAAGAACTATAATTTCAATGCCAGTCCAGATCCAATCCATTTTCCAACAGCTCCAGCATATATACCCTAAAATGGACCTAATGCAGCAATAGAGGAGGAAGTAGAATAATACTAAAAAAAAGAGGAGGAAGTAGAACAAGGTTATTAATCTTATCTTGAAAAAAATAAATAAATAAATAAATAAGAGGAAGTGGAATAGTGAGAAAGAGTCCTATTTTGTTGTTTTTGTTTTTGTTTTTGTTTTTGTTTTTTTCTTTAGTTTCTTGTACAAGTTTGGGGGAGCTATTTGGTATTTTGGTGTATTTTTTTTTTTTTGTTCATTCACCAATCTGGAGAGGGAAAGAGAGAGGGTGTGAAAGTCGAAGAGAAGAGCTCTTGAGTGGAGAGGAACTTGTACTCACATAGCAATTCTTAGCTCTTTCTTACTTGATTTCAGAAACTTCAAATTTCTTATCAATGAAGTTCATATTTGTTTGTATTTCAATAGAATTTAGTTGCTAAAAAAATGATGTGATGTAGTGACATGTGTAATGTAATTTAGGTCTAAGTTATACACTGTGATGAAAGATGATTTTGTGCTCTTCCATAATTTAATTGTGTATTAACCATCCTCAAGTTTAAAAGTCGATGTGATCTATGACTTTGATGGAGGCATAGTGGAACAACAAGGATATGGATAAAATTCTGAAAATGTATAGACCTGATTTTTAGGATTTTGGGATCTCTAAGAAGATGCGTGTCATGAAGTATAGGTATGATTAAACAGAGTTAATCATACATTTATTAGAATTCTAACAAACTTGACAGAAACGAGAAATAAATTGAGCTCTGATCCCCACAATTAAAAATGAATGGACTGATTTACATCACACAGTCACTAAATCCATCATACATTGAAAACTCATTTTAATTTGAAAAAGTTTAAGAAGTTATTTGATCTATTTTCTTTGGCATCTTTAAAACTAATCATTTGGCAAGATAAATCTTATGGTTGAAGAAATTAATACTTATAAAAATTAGCATATCAATTTTATGTTGAAATGATACTCTACTCAATCATTATATTACTTGAATGGTATGTGCACTCGCGTAACACAGTTTGCAAAAAAGCGGATCACATTTTTTACAATGACTTTTGTGTTAATCAAAATCTGAGTTGAATTTATCAAACGCAAACACAACTGCTAGTAGTTCTTTTTCAATGGTGGTGTAATTGATTTGTGCTTCATATAAAGTTTTACTAATATAATAGATGGCATGAAATTTTAGTCTTTGTCCTAACACTGCTTTTGAATTGCCCTAACACTGCTATGCAAATATTATGTGTGTGTGTGTGTATATATATATATATATAATGGAGCATTGATTATCATTAGAACTAGCTGTCAATGAGTTCTAAATCACATATAACCCAAGTTTGTACCTTTTTTTTTAATAATGAAAATGCTAAAAAAGAATATTCCAAATGAGGACTACTGCACAAGTTCATTGCATATGACATAATTATAGTTAGTGAAAATCCTACCAAAACTAATAAGAAGATAAAAATTAGAAAAATATTCAAAAGATAGGAGACCAAGGATTTATAGAACAAAGTTTGAGCATATGATATGTAATTTTATTAAGTGAAAATTTAAGAATTATCAATTAACATTATTAATGATTAAGTAATACTAAGGCTTGATATGAACCAATCTTGTATTCATTATGCAGAAGAATAAAAAATAGAAAAAGGATATAACTTCCAATTTAAAAGGTCTGGCAGTAAATCATGAACAACTAACTCCAATAAGAAAACAAAAAATGGACTAAATTTCTCGTATTTTGAAAGCATGGAAACTACAAAGCCAAGTAAAAGGGAAGGCCAAGAATGTGAGATACATTCATATTATCAAGAAAAAGAATGGAAGCATAACAAAAAGGATGATAAACCTTCAACACAAAAAACAGAGAGTTTTTAGGACACCTGAGCATAGCTTTTCAGACTCCTTAGCACAGTTGATGCAGTATATTTTGGAAGCGAAGGAATCTGTCAAAGAAAACTAGTTAATCAACAGTACACAACTGCTTCAAGTCCTTTTATTAGTAAAGCCAAATCTAAGCAATTAACTATGCCAAGACAATTTCCAGCACACTTGTCTAAATAGAAAGGTGAAACAATAAGCAATCAACAAATTCTTTCTCCTGCATGTTTGAAGACCCAATGGAGCATCTGCGAATACATACAATTTTATCTTCCTATGTTCAAAGAAAAAGGAATGACAGTTAAGAGTTTTCAAGGAGACATGAAAATTATATTGGCCTAGCATATTAAGAGCCCACAAAGTGAGACAATGTTTCTTTATTCTATCATGTTCCAGTTGCTTTATGATGTATGAATACAGACACAACACAACATGAACACATGTTCTTTTTTATAAATTATTAATATTAAATGTGTACTTAAAATACCTTATACTAGTATCTTCAATTAAAAGTATTAAAGAATGAAGTATAATATCATATACTTCACATATGAAGCTTACCTATAGTAAAAAAAGAATAAACATTGTTAATTATGATTAAAATTCAAAATCTATCACTTGCAATAATTGTTATTTATCAATAGCACACTAATATTAGAATTCAGTACTCACTGACATATATTTTACTGACATAATGTTTGTTCACAAAATGTCAAAAAACCTAAAAATGAGTAACATTAATGTCCTCTTCGAAATAATCAAACCAAATATTAATATATGAACATATTGATGGTGCATCACCCATTCAAGTTAATACACTTAATAACACATACATCATCACCACAAGCACCAGTACCCTCTTCAATATCACAACACTTCATTGAGATAAAACATAGTTTTCAAAGCTAGCTCTTCAAGAGAGAGATTAGTAGCTTCAAGCATTCCATTGATATCCATTATAGTAAATGCATCCACACGAATGCTATACAACTTAGTTTCTCCTTAAGTATATTTTGGGCTACTAGATAAAAGGTGGAGCTTTGCGTGCACATAAATCAAATATTCATCCCGTTGAGTGATCTTGTTCCTCTCGAGTAAATTGAGAAAAGAATATGAACACCAATTTCTTTCACAATAAAATGAGAAATATGATTGTGCTAGAAATTTAGAAGCCAACCTTTATAACTATGGCCTTGTGGGGAACTAACACCATAAATCACCCAATAAGCCTTCTCATTTAGAAGTAAAAGCATAACAAAGTCAAAAAAAAGTAAACAAACTCCAAATTCAATATTGCTCTATCTTTTAATATTTGGAAAAAAATTCTTCAAACGTTTGTTACTCTCATTTGATACCTCCCGGTCTTTATGTGGAGAAACATGATTTATAGTTTCACTAAGCCAAGATGACAATAATACTTAATAAAGAATGCAACTAATAAGATTAATAGCTATGAGATGGCCTAAAGCATTAAACACTGGTTTGAATTACGAAAATGGATTAAGAAATAAAGAGAAGTAGCAAAAAATTCTCATACACCGCCTTATAAATGGGTGACTCATTTTCTCTCTTTCATTCATGTTGATATAATATCCCTTTCATATTTTTAAATCACAAACTCACACATCATATATAACGTGGAGACAAGGCTTGTTTGTAGTAGATACTCTTAACATCTCATACATCGGCTCCATAAAAGAAATAAAATAATCCATTTTCTCACTAAAAATCATCCAATTTATTCCCTCAAAACTTAGCCCAATCAACATCATCTTCTGGATGCATGCTCCACTTGTCACTAATTATTATGATTTGTAATCCTTATTTTATAATTTTGAATCGCCCAAGATTATGATTATTGATGTAAAGTAAGTTGTTGTTATAGTTAATAGTTTTAACTTCACAAATTTATTGAAAGTTGAAAGCCTCATTAAATGATTTATGATGAAGTTCTTTATGAATTTAGCATCTCTTGCAATGTTCCTGATCCAGTTTCATTCATCATAAGTGCTCTCATTCCCCTCTAACATTCCTAGGAGCACAAATATTTTTTAGTGTAAGATTTAATGTGCCAATAATACAACTAGTTCAAAAAACTAAGAATATATTGAGTCTCGATTATTGTTCATGCTGAGCTATATATTGATTGATGCACTGTAGGTGATTACTTGAACCATTTTATTAGAACCAACTCTGATAATCACTTCTTTGATATGACTTGTAATGTACAAATTATTGTTATATGCTCCTTCACAACTAATGGTCTTTACACAGGCTCAAATTTTGTAATTCTCATAAAATTGATAAGAGATATTCGTGCAATAGTAAAACCATCACAAACATTGGTAACTCTCTTTTTCATTCCAAGCTTCTTTGATTGGCACAAGCATTCTTTAAATGTTAGGTCTTTCCTTTTTAAGTAGTATTGTTTTCAAAAAATTTAAACCTGGGGGATATATCTTGTGGGAACTTTATTAGCTACAAAAAAAAAGAATAAAAATAATATGAATTCCTTACCAAATGAAACGGAAGGGCGGATGATATAAAATGTAGGCAATATTTCATGCAATTGATATCAAACATATAAATTATATGCTCTTTCAATAGTTGTATTTGATTCAAATATGTTCCTCTTTTTTGAATTATAACTCCTCGCCATAAGAAAATTTTCACTTGACAATGAGATAGAAAATTGATTCACTTAGGATCGTTCATGACTATAGGTTTTTATAAAGTCAACTACAGAACAATTACAGAGAAAATAGATTTTTTTTAAATTGTGATGTGTACAAATTATAAATTTCGACACAACAAAACTAAAATATATATATATATATATATTAGTATCAAATCATAACATAAGCTCAATAATATTCTCTCATAATTTTATTGTATGATACATTAACTTAATTTCTCTATAATTCACGCTCTTATGAAATACTTTTATTCTCAAAAATAGGAACCAATACAGTTCTTCTCCACTCATCTGACATCTTATTGATCTCCTAAGCATTTCAACACACATATTGAAACATCATCAAACACAATTGTTCTTTCCATGCTTTATTTTCTTTAAAGTCTCTCTAACTTCAATTTTACTAATGCAACAATAAAAATAAAATCTTTATTTTTATTTAGGGTGTAACAACCCAAAAGTTTATAATAAACTTATTTAAAAACATGAAAATTTTGAAATGGAGAGCAACGCATTGTGCTTGTGAGGACAGCGGCATCTGAAAATGCTACCACGACATTAAAGGCTCTATTCTACAGTAACTCTAGATTCAACATGCAGCACTGCAGTGCTAGGTCATGGGAGCGTCGCGATGTTGGGCACTGAAAAGCATTTTTACATATATTTAATCTAAATCCATGCCATCACCTCACTCCCTCCCTCACTCTCATTTTCTTGGCTGAAAAAGAAAGGAAATAGGAGGGGAAGAGAAGTGAGAGAGGAGAGGAGAGAGATGAGAGAGAAAGCATTCTGGGGCTTTTTCATCCGATGCTCTTGTTATGAATTTTGTTCTATTTGAAGTAAGTGACTATAGTCTTACTTCGGTGTTCAATGGTTTTGATTTTTACAAGTTTTCTCTCTTTCAAATCGATAAAAAAGCAATTATTCCTGATTTATCAATTTTCTACCATGTAACTTTTCGTATCTGATAGATATGATTTTTACGATCATTTTGACTATAACATTATTGAATTTCACTGGGTAAAAAGAAAGTTATGAATTTCTGAAGCTATTGACTAGTATACAGATTTTCCTATATTTTATATATTCATGCATTTCATATGCTAAAGAGAGACAGACACTACTGATATAAGATAAACGTTGCATTTGCATGTAAGCAAGGAAGACTAGTTGTTAACACTATATTTAATATGGATTAGCTTTTAAAACATAATACCCTGCAAAGGACAGTATGCCTAAAGGATTTCCTTAGAATAAAAGGTTTGTGATGTAATCCTGGTTATAGCCTGTAATTGATTGACTAGATTAAACCGACGAGTAAAGGGGGACAGCTCCTTACTAACCATTGAAAGCCACCTGTGAATTTACTTAAGATAATATACAATCATAGTAAGATAAAGATCGATGATCAATTGGCCGACGGTTGGAATTAAATTAAAGATTGATAACCAACTGGATGAAGGTTAGGGGTAGATGGATGAAAACATTACATAAAAGCTGGATGTCCTACCTTGCACTTCATAATTACATTTATATGATAGTAAATTGAATTATGATAGATAAAATTGATATAAAAAATAGCATTTTTACTGATAAGTACACTAACATAGCATACTAATATAGCACATTGATTGATAGTTCTTTTTTTCTATTTTTCTTATAGTTTGATAAATATTTTTTTGTTTTATTTGATCATATTAATTTTACTATTGATTGATATAGATTTATAGATTACTTCTTTCTTATACTGATAGAAAATTGACTGTTGATTAATATAGACTAGAACTACAACAGACATATTAATTCTTTTACCTTACATTGAATACATTAGTAAATTTTGATTAATTGTTGGACTATGTGCTTATTATATGATTTCAAGTAAATTTAAGAAACCTACAGCCTAAGGTTAGGTAGTGATTATATTTTAATTCTACTTTTAGCCCTTTGATTTTATATATATTCTTTTGTTGGACTTTGAAACAAAAATATAAATATTGACAATGAAAATGTATTATGTTTATCACTATTTAAAATTTTCATAAATTCAATTAGTTAGCTCCAATGAACTAGTTGTTAAAAAAATAAAAAAGATCATAAAGAGAAAGAAAAATAAAAAAAAAATTCTTCCACTTTAGATTCCAGACATGACATAGGATGCTAAAGTCATTAAAGTCGATCATATTCTCACAATCTTTATTGAAATACTTATTGAATACATAGGATGCTAAAGTCATGACATAAGATGCTAAACTTGTTATGAATTTTGTTCAATTTGAAGTAAGTGACTATAGTCTTACTTCGGTGTTCAATGGTTTTGATTTTTACAAGTTTTCTCTCTTTCAAATCAATAAAGAAGCATTTCTTCCTGATTTATCAACTTTCTAACATGTAACATTTCGTATATTATAGATATGATCTTTACGATCATTTTGACTATAACATTATTGAATTTCACTGGGTAAAATAAAAGTTATGAATTTCTAAAGCTATTGACTAGTATACAGATTTTCCTATATTTTATATATTAATGCATTTAATATGTTAAAGAGAGACAGACACTACTGATATAAGATAAACGTTGCGTTTGCATGTAACCAAGGAAGACTGGTTGTTAACACTATAATTAATATGATTAGCTTTTAAAACATAATACCCTGCAAAGGACAGTATGCCTAAAGGATTTCCTTAGAATAAAAGATTTGTGATGTGATCCTGGTTATAGCCTGTAATTGATTGACTAGATTAAACCAACGAGTAAAGGGCGACAGCTCCTTACTAACTATTGAAAGCCACCTGTGAATTTACTTAAGATAATATACAATCATAGTAAGATAAAGATCGATGATCAATTGGTCGACGGTTGGAATTAAATTAAAGATTGATAACCAACTGGATGAAGGTTAGGGGTAGATGGATGAAAACACTACATAAAAGCTGGATGTCCTACCTTGCACTTCATAATTACATTTATATGATAGTACATTGAATTATGATAAATAAAATTGATATAAAAACTAGCATTGATACTAATAAGTACACTAACATAGCATACTAATATAGCACATTGATTGATAGTTCTTTTTTTCTAATTTTCTTATAGTTTGATAAATATTTTTTTGTTTTATTGATCATATTAATTTTACTATTGATTGATATAGATTTATAGATTACTTCTTTCTTATACTGAAAAAAAATTGACTATCGATTAATATAGACTAGAACTACAACAAACATATTAATTCTTTTACCTTACATTGAATACATTAGTAAATTTTGATTAATTGCTGGGCTATGTGCTTATTATATGATTTCAAGTAAATTTAAGAAACCTGCAGCCTAAGGTTAGGTAGTGATTATATTTTAATTCTACTTTTAGCCCTTTGATTTTATATATATTCTTTTGTTGGACTTTGAAACAAAAATGTAAATATTGAACATGAAAATGTATTATGTTTATCACTATTTAATTTTTTCTTAAATTCAATTAGTTAGCTCTGGTTATCACAAATTTCTAAGTATTTATATCTAAACTAATTTTTATAACAATGCTTCTTATTGTTTATATTTTCTTACATATTTTGATTCCGCCACAAACTATTTTACTATTATGAACTTTTCCTTTTGAAACTTCAAGCACATAATTTGTAACATTCTTAAAATCACTAGGTACATTTTCCCATTTAATATTAGCTTTATCGTGAACAACCAAAATTTTGAGATTTGAAATCTTAAATCTTACTCTCAAAAATAGTTTTATTAGCATTCTTTAAATGTTTGCATCTAATCCTATGAAAATATTTTACTTTATTTATCATATCCGCTCATTCATTTTAAAGTCCAAAACTAATAAACAATAGTGTGTATATAAACTTTCACTAAAAATAATTTTATAATCTCTACAATTTAAATGATCTATTTTTTATATAAGAAATAAATAATCAGAGTTTCACTATATCCATTCTTATAAGTGATGAGCTACTATTCTTTTTTTTTCTTAAATAAGGAATTAGCAATTACAAAATCATAAACTAAAACAAAATTTATAATGGTGCTACCACCTTCGTTAGTCACTCCAAATTTATAGTCACTATGAATATTTTAATGTCTTCTATCACTCTACCAACATATCTATTTAAATCTCATCTAATAAAAACTCTTCATTTAAGAGGTATTTTTTATATTCATTTTTCAAGTCATTTCAAAATTTAAATTTTGAACACATATCTAAATCTACCAGAAGAATAAAAGCACTTATAATATTAAATGATTCATGCCAAAATTGTTCGATAAATTTTACACTGATTATTGACTAACATACACAACAACTCTTTATTTTTCTTATCTAAGGCTTGAGAACTGACAACAACAATATTATATATATATATATATATAATAACTAACCGCCCCACTATAATAATTTGTCAAAGGAAATAAATTTAAGATTATTCTCAACTCACAGCGAGCCAATGTCTTATCAAGCATATCGTTATGTTCTCTCTCAAAAGATTTCATAATAATCACATGACATGTGTCCCCTAATAGATGATTTCACTAATAAATGACACCACTAAATAATGTTTATATTTTATAATCAAAACCCTCTAAATGGGAAATGGCTCCACAAAATAATATTATTGAATTATAATCACAGCCAGATTAATTGACATGCTCCCAAATAGTTCCAGCCCCTTGAGTTCTGAATATAAGGTGCAATTGGGCACAAAGCCCTTTGTCAGCCTGACAAAGATCAATTTTAATTTGTACTCATACAAAACATCTATCCCAAATCTTTAAGGCCTCCTGGACAACGCAATCAATGCCTATAAACAAGGGTCATTTGGTCAGCTTGAGCTAATCACCTACATTGACTAAGTAAATAATGGATCATGCAATTCTTTTTAAACTATGGGCAGTGTATTTCCTCAATTTAAAATCAAATTGCTACTTACACTAAACACTTAGTGCCTACCAATTAACTTTAATCAAAAATTCTCTCTCGTCACTAGGAAGGGCAATTAATCATGAGGGATTACACTCATAAGAAATCTAAAATCAGGTATCGAAGTGCTCATAAAATAGGGGCAACCGGGCAACATCTCTAGGTAGTCTTTTGCAATCTAGTTTGCCTTCTAAAAATATAATCCTAAGACAATTGTGAATTTTTAGTGCTTACATGAATCTGAGAACTTATAATTCATAATCCATTATTTGATTTGGGATTATCTACTCCTATGGCAAGAATAAAGAAAATTTCACCATTAAAACTTCATATCAATTTGTCGGACAGTAGCCTAGAGAAAGTAAGGCCTTATTTATCCTACTTGGATTGAAAACTAAAGTTCTAGCAAACTTGCTTACAAGTGTCTATTTTGGCGTGATCATAGCTATTTGTAAAAATAGTAATAGAGTTATTTCAAGAAAGCAACTTTTTCTAAAGTTGTTGTAAGTATTAAAAATATATTTACTTTTGAAAAGAATCAGATAACGCATTCTTACAGCAACCATATTCTAACAAATCCAAATGTCAAAAGTAGTTTCTCACTACAGAAATTTCTAAAAAAAGTCAATAACACAATAGCCAAATAGACGTACAACAGCAGACTGTAAAGCAATGCAATGAAAACGCTAAACACTAAGTCAATTTAAATTCTAGCACAAATTGAAGAAAAACGGAAGAAAAATAAATGTGACTAGGAAACCCATCAATTATTACACATAATAGTCATTAAATACGGTTTTTGGCTTATAAAGCAGGTTTTAAAAAACACTTAACAGAAACCAGGAGAAAAGGTCAAAGAATACAAATCACAAGTGGCACAATGAAATATTATGGCATGCATGAACAAAAAATTGAAGAAAGCTACATACCTGCCCAAGATGAATAAGCGCAACAAGAATATATTTTTTGTATGCTTCTATGGCTATCGCATTAATCGTTGACATTGGTGCAGTAACAACCTGTCAATTGCAATTTACTATCAAAAACATTTGAAGGCAGAATTAGAATCCAAACTGTATGCTAGTTACACACATTATGAAGACACTCCAAAGCTTTTGAAAATCGCTTTAACCCAATATTTATCATTCCCCTGTCACTCAAGAAAAAAAACAAAGGAAATCAGTGATATTTCTTCTACAACTACGTTAGAAAGAAATGCGATAATGATACTACAACATATAAAATAAAATTAATGATAATACAAGAATAAATAAGAATCCTAAAGTCCTGAGCAATCTTGAGGAAGATAGTAACCAGGTTAATACAATGAAAACAATTTGGTCCCACAAAGAGAATTTATAAACACAAATGAAAATCAAAACATCGTAGAATAAGGAATGACAAATACTATAAGTTCCTGCATATGGAAAAAAATGATCATATCATACAAATCAAAATAATGCATCAGTATTTTACCTATTATTTTAATAGTGCACGGTACAGGAAGGGGTAAGCAGATTTACTTGTCCAGCATGTATTTTGTGCAATATAAAAATATGGATTGTGTTATTACATGCAAAGGCTTGTAGTGTTACTCAATATGTTTCACCCGTATAAAATGGTAAGAAAAATAATAATAATAAATGCTCCTGTCGAGTTGAGATTTTCATCATCATCATTAGCCTTATCCTAACTATCAAAACTAGCTTTATGAATCCTCATCTCCATTTGTTATGTTAAATTAAGAGAATTGGAAAGGGAAAAAGCTTAATTTTATTATACAAAACTATCCCTATTTATAGATCTATATAAGATTTCAAAATAAAGAAACAAATAACTATAGAATCATATATAATTGCCTTAATAAAATCCTTCCTAAATCAACCACCAAAATATAGGAGGAGATCAGCGTGATCCAAGTAAGCCTCCCACGGATCCCCATGCTGGCCGTGAGATCAAGGCCAATGGATGGATGAGATTTAACAATGTGACTCAGGTGAGCCTCCCATGAATGTCTTAATAAAATAACTATAGAATCATATTTATAGATCTATATAAGATGTCTTAATAAAGAAACAAATAACTATAGAATCATTCATAATTGCCTTTATAAAATCCTTCCTAAATCAGTCACCAAAATATAAGAGAGATCAGTGGATCCAAGTGAGCCTCACACGGATCCCTATGCTAGCTGTGAGATCAAGAGCCAAGGGATGGATGACATTTAACAATGTGATTCAGGTGAGCCTCCCACAGATGCCCATACTGGCCGTGGAACCGTGAGATCAAGGGTCAAGGGACGGCTAGGATTTAACACTCCCCCTCAAGTTGGGGAATACAGATCTGTCATTCTCAGCTTAATAATCTATCCCAGAAAAGTAGAGGTATCAAGTCCCTTGATAAGAATGTCAGTAGCATCGATTTCATCCTTTTCCTACATCCCAAACATCTCAGTTTCACCTTCAATAAACTCTCACTGCTCTTTCTATAGGAGCAACACATCTACATCATCACCACAACAACAACAACAACAACAACAACATCAAGCCTTTGTCCCACTACGTGGGTTGACTACATAAATCCTTTTCTCCATTATAACCTGTTAAAAGTCAATTTCTCGTTTAAATCTAATAAAGAAAAATCATTTCTAATATTTTCTAACCAAGTCTTTTTAAATCTACATCTACCTTTCTTAACAAAAGTCAAATCTAATACCTCTACTTTCCTAACCAAATCATCGGAAGGCCGCCGTTTTATGTGACCAAACCATCTAAGGCGGCTCTCTCTAATCTTATCTTCCATTGGAGCTACTCCAAACTTTTCAAGTATAAGCTCATTCTGTATCCTATCTCTAAGGGTAAAGCCACTCATCCACCTAAGCATCCTGATCTCTACAACACTTAGTATTATGCTTCTCTTTTAATGGCACATCTACATCACCATCATATAAAATTTTATGCATTCTTGTATTTTGATCAAAAGAATCAATAATGCCATCAAAGCTACCAAATATTTATCTTTGAACCAACAATTGTGTCATCCAAGGCTTTCCTATGCTTCCATAGTCCAGAAGCCTCTTGTACACCCTAAGCACGCTTCCATCTTAATTTTGCCTTACTAATATCTTTAACATGGTTGTCATCTTTAACCAAATCTTTTACATTAGACTTTTGAGAAGAGATAACTTCCTTTAATTTCAATTATTTGTCTTCAGCCTCAGCATGCTTAACTCCTTTCTGCTTCTTAGTGCCAGCAATTTGCTTGTTTTCTTAGAATCTCACTTTAACTTTTCTTTGAGATACATTTATTCCTCTATTACTTGAAAGCTTGTTGTCATAATTACTCCGAGCTTTTTTCTTATTACCAACTCCATAATGATCATTGATATTTGACAACTGCAATGAAACATTTCTTCCTCCTTCGCGAGAACTTAGATCTGACCTTCTATCAAGCTTTGTTGTACCTGGATCCAAGCTTTGTTTAGTATTAACTCTAGATTTACCACTATGATGGTGAAATTCATCCTTTTTCTTTGCAGCCATGGAATCAACATTCCCATTATGAAAAGATCCATTATTCGTCACCAATTTGGAAGATCTGTCTGCAACAGCAACAACTTTTTCAGGATAAAAAATTTCACTTTCCTGTTGTGCAGATTCTTGAGGCAAGTCATCAGAAAGGAACCGCTCAGATAATTTATGGTCAGATTCCTGATTTTAACCAAAATCATTGTTTTCATTCTGTATCAAAGAATAGGTTTACCCTGAAATACAACAGCAATAATTTTGTTTAATCACTTAACAGAGCACCATTGCCATTAAATAATTTAGCCAAATATGGCTTTAGTTTCAAGGAACAGTAAACAAGCACTTTCTCAGATAGCTTCTTGGATGTATGTATATATATATTGAATTTTTAGATATCATGAGTTTAAATTCAAAAATTACCCAACTTCCATTTGTTTGTATCATAGAATGGAAAAGATACAGCCTAGTTCACAAAATTTTCATTGATTATGTATATAAGACATGCAAAAAATACTATTATTTGTTAACTAATTCAATCTGATGCACCATCAGCATGTTTTCAATCACTTTTGGATTTTTTATGAGAAGAGAATTGTAGCACAAGTATAAACAATGGCAAGATATATCCTTACCCATAGTAACAAAACAGGAAGAAGTCCCTGGGCTGATCAATCTCCAACACCTCATCATCCAAAACACTTGTGCCTGCTTGGTAGCACTTTGACAGTAAACAAAGGAAGAGGAAATCAGAGTGAAGTGCAGTCAATTGCTCATATGAAGATTGAAGTTTGCGAACAGCAGTCCTCAATGGAGCCACCCCATGTATGGGCACCTGATGCTGTATTACTAGATCTTTGAACCTCTTGCAAACAGATATAACTGGAGAAAGATGAAAGGCACAGGCATAACAATTATCATTAAGAAACATTTCAATAACTAGAAAAAAAAAAGAAATTTGAAGAGAGAGAGCAGCTAATTCATCATTGTTTAGGGCCATTGAACAGATCATACATTTGTCCGGTGCCAGCCGTATCTGTTCTGATGAGCAGAAATTGATAAATCCAACAACACATGCAAGGAAACTGCTAATGTTCTCTCTCAAAATAGGTCCAGAAGAGTATGCTTCCCTATGAAATAATACATAGCCATATAATTGATATATAATTAAAGGGAAACAAGAACATCCAAATCATATTTAACAAAATAAGGCAATGCGTCGTAGTAAGCCATTGTAGTAGTGGAAAATAAGCTTTCAAAAAAAAGCAAAAAAAAAGCAAAAAGATGGATATCAAAATAGAAATTAAAACAAGTGTCAGGAACTCTTTTCTTTACATTTTGGTGTATAATAATGCATGTCGAGGGAATCGAACTTTAAAACGAGGTTATATGAAATTTTGAAGCAACAACTTATGTAAACGGTCGATCACCCCACTTGATAAGGCTGCACCAGTGAAGTGCATTTGATATATATATATATATAACAGAACACTACAAGAATACAATTGATTTTGAGGAATCAAACCGTGTTGAAAATGCACACTGCAGTAATTGGTGGGCACAAATAAGTAACTTATGTAACACAAAAACGCAGATCAAAGCCATATCCCTTATGTTAGGGAAATTATTCCGTGCGGAGTCCGGATGGTAAAGAACCGTCCGGATGTGAGTATACATAGTGTGTACACTTAGTATAATTTTATACATAGTTTGATTTTTTTATACATAGTGTGTACAAACACTGTGTACACTCACACCCGGATGGTTCTTTACCATCTAAACTCCGCACGGAATAATTTCTCCTTATGTCAAGAGTATAATAGGAAGTTTCAATGATAAAAAGATCACATTGCATTTCCAAATCTAACATGAATGCTTTATATATAAAGAAAACCCTAAAAAACATTGACTGTAAAATCATGGATTTCCATCTGTAGGTACCTAACTTCCCGCAGTCCATATTATAATCTAATCATAGTTTTGATGAAA